CGTTATTATTATGTTATTAAGTATAGTTAATAATATGTTATTGCCTGTAAATCTGTAAAATTGCTTACTGATATAGATATTGAGTAAAATATTTTCTTTTTTGGATTTGTACAACCCTAACAAATATCCGTGCTAAATTTGGACGCGATATGTGTGAGTGATACACCGTTAGCAACCATCGCCGATGTTAGTTTTTATGCTTAAATCAAATGAAAATTACAAACTCCAATGAATCAATGCAGTTTCAAATTGAATGTTCGTTAAGGTAGTTAAAAGAAAATTTTACCCGAAACCCAAGCCGCAAGCATTTTGCTTGAAAATGTCAAGTATTTTTCTTTAGCAGAATATAAATAGATTGAACGCAGTAAATCATAAAAATAAATCAAAATTTCGATCAGTTCTGAAGTGACTCTTGTTCACTTTCAAGGGAAACAATTGTAAAAAATAAAAATACTTCATTTTTGAGCTGATTTTTCTCCACTTTTTGTTCCGTATCAGTTTTCATACACGAATACAAAATAAATAAATATTTATCTAATATATAAAGACAAGTTACTTAATGTATGTCCTCAAGGATTTACTGGCTGGAGATAATCAATTTTGTTTTTTTGTGGTGCGTTGGGAACCTCATAGGGATGGTTTAGAAAGAATCACCACGTGTGTTTGACGTTCCAATAAAAAAATATAGCCGCTTAACACTATGACTGTTCTTCATATTTGCAACATATTACTGTTCTTGGGGGACTCCAGGGCCCCCAAGATACTTCATATGAAATCTGGACTGTGATAAGAGATAACAAATTAGTGTCTGAAGCAAAGTTGTAATACTCAAAGTTTGCTATAATTTTGGTGCAACAAATATTGCTTATCTCTTATCAGTTCCGCGAAAAACGTGAAAAAACGCGAAAATCGCAAAATTTTCCGACATCATTTTAGTGAAGCTGATAAGAAGTAAGAGACTTGCCTCTTCGACAAAAATGTAGAGCAGCTTGAGTACTACAACTTCACCATAGACATGAAGTCGTTATCTCTTATCAGTTTCGCAAAAAATGATTATCAAAAACTCGAGTTTTTCGCGTTTTTTCGCGTAACTGATAAGAGATAACGACTTGTGGAGTTGTAGTACTCAAGCTGCTCTACAAATTTGCCGAAGTTACTAAGTCGTTATCTCTTATCAGTTTCGCGGAATACGCGAGAAACCGCAGAAAACCACGAAAAAACGCGTTTTTTTCCTTATCATTTTCACGGAACTGATAAGAGATAACGAGATGGTGTCTAAGGCAAAGTTGTAGTTCTGGTTGAGTACTATAATTATTTCGATTCATTATTTCGTTATGTCTTATCAGTTCCGTGAAAAAACGATAAGGAAAAAAACACGTTTTTTCGCGTTTTTTTTCGGTTTCTCGCGTAATTGATAAGAGATAACGGAATAATGAATCAGAATAATTGTAGTACTCGACCAGAACTACAACTTTGCCTTAGACACCATCTCGTTATCTCTTATCAGTTCCGTGAAAAATGATAAGGAAAAAAACGCGTTTTTTCGCGGTTTTCTGCGGTTTCTCGCGTATTCCGCGAAACTGATAAGAGATAACGACTTGGTGTCTTCGGCAATGTTGTAGAGCAGCTTGAGTACTATAACTTCGTCATAGACACTAAGTCGATATCTCTTATCATAGTCCAGTTATAATATAAAATAGTCATGGGGCCCTGTGGTCCCCCAAGAACAACAGCGTAACATGTTTTGCGGCAGGCTGTATTTTACACTTACTCACACATATGCATATGTTTTTTCTTTCATTCGTGTAGAGAAATGTTCAATCTATACAATGAGACTTAACTCCGGTTGGTTTATACACTGTTTAGTACTTTTATTCAACTTCAAAGTTCGCTGGGGGCCCTGGGTGCCCCAAGAACAATCATAGTGTTAAAAAAGGTGTTATTTTCCCATAGTTCCGGGTTTCCCAAAGTTTTTCGAATTTTTTGTTTAGAAAATAGCCGATTTTCACTGTATTATATTTTCTCTGAGTTTATTATTCAATTTGTGAGAAATTAATAAAGTTGGTTTCAAAAAATTTATACAAATTTAAAAATTCTTTATTCACATATGCAGAGAATGCGTTGAGAAAATGAAGAAGCGAAATCCATCCCGCGCGAGTGGATAATACAATGAAAATCTGCTATTTTCAAAACAAAATAAAACGAATTACATACGTAATCCACACTTTTTCGATCCGCAGCAATTTAGTTTACCTCCCGCTTAATGTTTAACCAAAATTTCAATGGAAACTTTTTTCATAGCACTTTTGACCTTGAAAAATAACTATTTCGACCATTCTCCAAATAAAAGTGTCATTTTCGAACAGAATTTCAAAAATTTCAGGAAATGTCGATTTTGGACCTTTTTCATTTTCACCATCGCTGTTTGACTGTCACTCATACGTCACTGATCATAAACGTAACTTATTAAATGTTCGCCAGTCTACCCGCAACATAAAACAGTCGCTGAACAAAGCGAAACATAGTTCTGTTACTCAATCAACAAGGAACATGGGATTTTTATATATACATTTATTCTGTGTGACGTTTTGTTCAAATAATTCTGTTACCGTTCGTTGTTTTTATCAGTAGATAAGCAGTTATTTTTGTATATTATTTATCAAATTAAAAAAAAAACTTCGAAGCGAGCACAAAAATGTTGATTGTAAAACCCGCTACAGGATAATGTAGAGATTGGTTAGGAATATGAAACAAGCAAATCGAAATCGCTCCAACATATCTAAAAATACTCTGGTTTTGGCATGAGATATCATGTTGAAGAAAAAATATTATTCGATATCAGCAGTTTTCAACGAGTCAAAAAGAGAATGATAAAACAACCCAAGGGACATTTGCTTTAACGTCATAACAACCGCTGTATGGATAAACCAAATCATTCCAACGAATCTGAACAGATATTTCCGTAGCAAAACATATTATGAATTTTATAGAAATAAAATAAGTTTGTTCCTTTCTGGAGGCAGTTTAGTTCAATGATTCATCGCATCCAGTCCGGTTGCAAATCATTTCATTGAGTGTGATATGCAAATATATTGTATTTTTATAAGATACCGATTGAACCAATGCACATGTTTGACACATTGTAACGAGCAACAGTCTTACGTGTGATAATCTAATCTATATTTGATTTTTAATCGCATCACAAACACAGGTTAGCAGAAAAATAGCTATTTCTAAAACTGTTTTACATTTTCACACCCATTATTGTGTTTAAAGAAGAAGCAAATTAGCAAGTTAAATCTTTTTCAGGCGTCCACTGAACGCTACTCAGTGTATGTCTTCCCCGAGTAAACTCATTTTTGCTTAAACCCATTTGCCACAATTCACTCTCCGTAATTTATTGATAATGGCACAAGTATGTAAAAAAATGCGGTGAATCAACTACAGAAATAACGATTTTACAAAATGCCAACACCAAAGGTTAACCTAATTCATTTGCGCATAACACAATTACCCATTAATTTGGAATTTAAAATTACCTGTTGGAACAATTTTAAATTTTTTTCCGATTGTGTGAGTGATATTTTGCATTTGTTTCAGTGTCAAGAAATGATCGATGTTGAAGGGCACCAATTGAATGAGGTAAGCTTAATCGATGCAATTTCATTTTGAGTTTATTCAATGAGTGTGCGTTTGTCTAGTAGACATTGTCCACCATGATTTCAAATCGAATCAATTGTTTTAATTGGTTAGAAATAATCGCCCATAAATATAGTGTCGGAACAACAAGAAGACAGCCAATGACATCTCTAAACCAACTTATTGAATCATCGAATATTTCGAGCAACTTTTTTCAATCGTGTGTGGCTTGCATTGAATATAATTCACTTTACGGCGACACAAGCAGCTTCTCTGTACACACACACACATCGTAGAAGAGAATACAAAAATCATAGTATTTTGGCAAATGCATCGAGTAACCATTGCAAAACATCAATACGTTTTGGCTAATGCGTGGTAACGGCTCACAGAGAAGCTGTTAGCGTCACCGTAAAGTTGATTATATTCTAGTGAAGCCACACACGATTGAAAAAAGTTGCCGAAAAATTCAATGATTCAATAAGTTGGACTTGAGATGGCATTGATTGCTAAATGTGTCGAATGACTTACATTTGAAATCTCCATAAATTAATTATTTGTGATTGGATTTGCTGGTCTGTAAATCTATTTTCAAATCATGAAATCCCACCAAATGTATTGAGGTATTTTTGAATCACAAAATAATGCAGATTTCTTTATGTCATAATTAGCTGCTAACTTTGTTGACTAGACATCGTGATGGATCGCTCACTGCATTCTTTGAATCGAAATTAGATGACAAATTCAATGTTGGTGAGTTAACAAAGACTGTCGAACATAGATTCGCAGTTTTTTTATTTGAAAAAAAACAGTAGTGGAAACTGTATGTATTACTATTATTATTCAGAAAAAAATGTCGAAGCGATTCGCATTGATAATAAGGCAATGAGAGAATTTGTGTGGAATATATTCCACATTACTATAGTGATATGAATTCAATTTAACTTTTTCAAAATTGTTTGCGTCTTTCGTACAGAAAAAGAAAAGGTTAGGGAATTTCTACAAGAGCACGACATGGATATCGATGTGAGGAACAAACACGAAGAGACTGCCCTGCATATTGCCAGCAAAGGTAAAATACAGTTCGGTTCGATGTGTTGTTGGCACACGAATACGCATCACATGCGTTGACTAGTAATTGTAAGTGCTACAGCATGTAAACATGTATACATTTACAGTGAATAGCTCAGTATTGCTGTGAATCTAAATGATAGAAGATGAAAAAATAGAATCTTTTTTAACAAATATTCTGTTCTTATTCCGGTTAGCCTATGTTACGATTGTGAAAATTTTGATTGGCTGCGGAGCCGATGTGAATTCCAAGGACAAAACACAAGAAACGCCCTTACATCTGGCTTGTATGCGAGGTAAACGTGATGCCGAAAGCATATTAGCTATTGTGAAATTGCGACTGAAAATTCAAACAGAAAAAACTTTTTTTTTATTTATTCGTTTATTGATCTAATAGTAAAAAATCTCAATGTTCATATGTTACAGATGTTGAATGCACGTTCATATTTAAAGAAACTACAAAGCCAAAACATGTCGCTATAATGGAAGGTAACTTTCAATAAAAAATGAATCAAGAATTTCCGTATAAATCGTGAGAACACCTCCCAATCTTACAGCTCGCGTTGAGATTGTAAACCTGCTTGTTGATAACGGTGCAGATGTAAATAACAAAAATGAGAAAGAAGAAACTCCACTTCAGATTTCTGCGATTCAGGGTAAATGATTTGCCATTGATTTAAATCTTGATCTAAATTTTGAACTAAAAAGCATCTCAATCGTACCATTTTATCAACTCAGGTTTTGGAGAAGTTGTAGAAAAACTCATCGATAATGGTGCGAACATCAATGTTGCTGACCAAGACCGATGGACACCACTCCATCATTTTGCTCGATTAAGTAGTGTCCTCTGAAGCTGGTAGAATCACTAACGAAATTAAATCCATTGTATCTCATTTCAGACTTCGATGAAACGGTTAAAATGCTCATTGCACGTGGCGCCGATTTGAATTTGAAGAATGATTTGGGACGGACAGCTCTGCTAGAGGCTGCCAGTTGGGGTATTCACCTACAATTTGAATATCTTTTCAATACTCATTTCCTTTTTAAAATTCGGTACATAGTCAAACGATTGACCAACAATTTCATTGTTTAGGCTGTGATCGAATTTTGAAACTGCTCGTTGAATCTGGCGCCGATGTTGATGCCTGCGATAAAAACGGATGGACTGCACTTCATATGGCTGCACTCGGAAGTAATTTACAATTTTTTTTTTAACTCGTTCGTTGTAAATAGAAGATTTTAAAATTCTTTTGATTGCATTGAAAATGTAATCAAGTAAAGTGATTTAAAATTTGTAACAGAATATTACGTTACGAAGTTAGTACCGTACAAAAAATCTTGAATATTTTATGTTATAAGGCCATTTTCATACTCTTCTTTTTAGGTCGAATTGCAAATGTAAAACTTCTCATTGAACATGGAGCTGATGTTAATCTTACTGATAACGATGGTCGCACTCCACTTCATTGGGCATCGCTTGACGGTGAGTGCATGAATTTTGCAGTGTTTGAACAATTATCCATTCGAATGGAAATTCAAGTATTTTCTCTGATTATTTTTTCTACTTAGGCCAACATAGAACTGTGGATATACTTATTGAAAATGGTGCTAACATTAATTTAGCGGATCGATATGGATTGACTGCCATGAAACTAGCACTCAAAGAAAGTGGCTTTTCGATTTAATACTACAATCGATAATCGATTCCCAATTTTTCCAGGCCATCAAAAGCAGTAGAACACATGAAAATGGCTTTTATAGACGACATAAATGACATAATAAATAAGAATTTTTAAAGCTGGAATCATTTGATATCTCGCATGTTTAATGTTCATCAATTTAATAAAAATTGTGTGCTCGTTAATTCACTGAAATGAACCGATTAATGCGAAATAGAACAAAATTCGTTCTTTTAACTAAGAATCAATGTATTTCAACCTATTCAAACAGAGATGAAAATAGAAGAAATGGAAAAAAAATTATCTCCCCAGCAGGGAATCGAACCCTGGTCGCCCGCGTGACAGGCGGGAATACTAACCACTATACTACTGAGGACTTGTGAATATTCGAATCCATTGAGTTCACAGATCGGCCCAGAACAATTCCAATCTGAACTTTTCGATTCACATCGCGTTTGTAATCTAACCACAATTCATGTATCTCGTATTAGCAACGGTATCATCCAAAAAGTGGTTTGGAAATGAACTGCTTAAGAAATACAATGCCGTCAAATTTATTGGATTTATGCTGAACGGTGTTTGAATGATCATTTTCATTTAGACTTGATTTTTATTTTAGGATGTGACTTTTTCGACAGAACATGTGTAAACATTTTGATAAAATTCTAAAACGGAGTAATGTTATCAGTGTATAGATCGTTGCACAGAAAACGAATTAAATTTAAAAATTGTTCATTTGAAGAGAAAAAAAAAACAAATAAAAAATGGAAAAAAGTGCCAACGACACATGGTGTTCCCAGACGGTCACCCATTCAAGTACTAACCATGCTCAATGCAGCTTAACTTCAGTGATCGGACGAGAACTGGTGCTTTTTACATGATATGGTCGTTGACGAATGTAAACTGCTGTTGTACGTACACATGTCTCTGATTCCAAATATCCAAGATAATAATTTCGCGAACAGCAAGTTTATTTATGACACGAGAAAAGAACGGTTGACACATTTACTGCACAAAAATTGGTTTTTAGAAAAATGTTTCGTAATGAAATTATTTGTTTGAATCGTATTTTTAAAATACATTCATATTTTACCTCTTTGCGCCAACCATAGCAGCTGTGGTACAGTGAATGTGACCTAGGGCCAAGGAACACTACTCGCTATTACAATTTTTTTTTTTACAAATGTACACGAATTTTTGTGAATATTCAGCGACTGATGCACAAATAATCGTACATTCAAATACACTGTGTAGCGTATTTTGTTGTTGAAACAAACGGAGGTAGAGAAAAAAATGTTCTCCATAAAAATGTATACAATATTGAATGTGCAAATTCTTACGAATTGCTGCGATTTCGTTCTAAATTTACGAATTGTTTCCAATTTTTTGATATTTATACAGAAAACTAACAAATACTACAACTATCACAACTAGAAATATGCTCCTAGAATGTGGATTTCACACTGAAAATGGATTATGAATTGGACGCCCAGCTTATTTCTACATGAAGTGACATCACTGTACTGCTTTTACTTTCGATAAAATTAGACGAATTATCTGTAGAGCTTAAGTTCTTGAAACGATTACAATGAATGATTAGGTAAGAAATGAGCCGTAGCAACTGGAAATGATAATAATACCTAATTAAAAATCCTCATCAAAAATATCAAACTATACAACTCCAACATAATTCGATTCGCTTGATTTGATTTTATTGAATGTGATTTAACATTAGAAAATATTGGATTCGATCATTTTATTTATTCGACTGAGAAGTTTCTTATTTTAATTGTGACAAATTGTTGCAATTGTTTGTTTTATCAGTAAACTTATTCAAGCATTATTTGAAATCAATGATCAATTGATCATTGCATCAGAAGATGAGTGTTTCATGCATCGAGTTATTCAATGCACTTAATTTCGACCAGCTTCAAGTCGATCTCTGTTGTTTTCCACCTGGTTGCCAGGTAATTTAATTCGGGGATGTAAATCGTCACTTTGCTGACATACAATGTTTTGGTCAACAATTTTTTACGTTCACGGTTCATTGCAACTGGGTCGATGGCTTTGTTGTAATAATCTTCACCCAATTGAAGGATGACGACAATCTTCTTTAATTTTGGTGACAGGTGCACGAATGGTATAATGTCATCGACACCGGCCGCAAAGAAATTCACTTCATTGAGATGTTCAAGGCTTTGCGCAAGTGCCGGTTTGTTTGCAATGTTCGCGCAATCGCTGATGTCTTTTGTATTGAATGTTAGCACTTTTAAGTCTACAAGTGATGACAAATCGACCGTTTCAGTAAAATCACGTCCAACAAATCTAACAAAGGACTTCAATGAGCTCAGTCTGTTAACAACTGTTTTATTGGTTTCGGTGTTCATATGTAATCGTTTGTATACGCCTTTGGCATGCAGCATATTGAGGAATTCGCAGTCAGAATGTTGTAGCAAAGCCGTGCGAATACACAAATCGTCCAATTCGAGTTCCATCACTTCGGTTTCGTTTGGCAAAAGCAAATGTAGTCTCGTTGATAACGAACGAATGGTTGGGTTTTGCCGCAAAAATGATCCCAATTTGCCAGCACTTGCACTGTTTTGTGTAAACCATGTGAAATGCTCCAGTTTCGGGTATTTTCGGGTAACCCATTCATCATCAAAACCACTGGCTAGGATTTTCAAGCTTTTTACGTTTGGAAATCGTCCAAGAACACCTTCGAAAAATGGTCCATTCACTTCACAACGCCACAAAATAACGTCTTCGATCCGGCTCAAGAATTCCTGGGGCATCATTTTGATTTGGTCCAAATTAGCATTACGGAAATAGATTCTCTTCACCGATTTGAATGCATCCCAATCAACGTTGACCAAATCCAATTCATCAGCAGGGCTTCTGGCTCGAACTTCTAGATTCTCGGTATATTCACGAAAACCAATACTGCCACAATTATACCGTAAAAAACAGTCGGAAAATTGTTGGTGATAAAAGTAGCCGGCGACCCGTTGCATTCGCTTGCATGTTTGCCCAAAAGAGTGTAGATCATGGATTGATAGATAATCGAACACTTTCTCGAAGCAATCGACGTTCAGTTTGAAGATTTGCGGTGGTTGTTTAATGTCCATGTTTTGCTGTTGTTCATTCACTCCTTCTGCCTGTTCACCTTCGACCGTTTTTTGATCCATTTTGATGTGGTTTGGCTTTTGGTTTGCAGGAAAAACGAATGATGTCGCACACACACAAGTGTCACAAGTGTAAACTTAATTGAAATGACATCAAAAGTGGAATTCCGATTAGAACATTTGAAATTAATAGAATTGGAAATGTTTCAAATTTTCCATTTCAAAATTAATCAATTCAAGTGAAAATAATCCATACCAAAAAGAGAGAAAAGGGATTTCGGACAATAAAATGCTAACTCAGCGACTGAAAATTGCGTCGAATGTTTGATGGCAGCGGTCTTCGTTGCACAAACTTCGGTCTTCGTTGCACAAAGCAGCTTGATTCGTATTATCGCGTGTAATTTCACAACTGAACGAAATATGCACCTAAACGAATTGATCACTGAATTGGCCAGAGTAGTTTTCGTATTTAATCCGTAGAATTGATATTTTTGACTTGAATAATTGGTCGACAAAAAAAAAGAATTTCTTCAAAAATCCGTCGAACTGTTCGACCCGAATAGTTTGGAGTATGTCTGAAATGTTGTGCGAGTACTGCGTGCAAACGAAATATCCAACTATCCCTTCGTTGAGCGCTGATTTTGACAGCTAATTCTGAGTGAAACCGCAGATGACCGCATTGAATCGGTTGAAATTGAGACAACCTCCTATACGCTATCAAAGCAAATCACTGAACTGTCAAACAGTTTTCGTTTGATCGAAAGGGTTTAGCGGTAATTCGACCAAACACAATCATTGTGTTGTCACAAGATAAAAATGACTATGATGAAAATTGGGCGAAAGGAATAATAGGGTTTTTTATTCTTTATATTAATAAAAGAAGATGTTAACGCAGCATATGTTCATGCATAGGAATTTATTTTCTGACGTTAGAGAACTTTTGATTTAAAAAAAAATGGGTGATTTTGAATCAAAACTGAAAAATGAGCAAATGTGAAGGTTTTTTTTGCATTCTTTTCATTCTTTCATGTTGAATTCTCCGTATTTTTTCTCATTCTTATCAAGTGATGCAATTTGCTTTTGAAAACATATTGTAAATGACCAATTCTTTGACATCAAGAATCTGTTGTGTATACGCACAACAGCAGTTTACACTCGTCAACGACCATATCATGTAAAAAGCACCAGTTCTCGTCCGATCACTGAAGTTAAGCTGCATTGAGCATGGTTAGTACTTGAATGGGTGACCGTCTGGGAACACCATGTGTCGTTGGCACTTTTTCATTTTTTTCTCGTCAATTTTTTCCATTTTTCAAAGAAAAAAATTTCTTCGTTTTCGATTCAAACTGGAATTTTTTTGCATTGCTGGATTGCTCTTGTTAGATTAACGTTCAATTGTGTCTTTCCATAGAATAACATTTAAGACACGTTTTCAATACAGAAAAGCATTAACGAACGAATTTGTTCTGACGAAAGTGACCATGTTTAATTCAGGCATCTTCAGAGAGTTTTTAATCTGGAAAATACTGCTGTTTGTTCCTACAAAATATAATGAGTGAGCTAAACATATGCTTACATATCGATTGACATCCAATTGAAATTTTGTCAGAGACCTACACATAAAAATCGTATGAAAAAACAAAGCGACCTGTTTGAGAGCAACCGATGGAATTTTTTCAATGAATCAAAATCGAACATTTACATTATCGCATCACAATTCTGATCTTCGATCCAGATAGCGAGTCACAGTGTATACGGGTCCGTGGCGCAACGGATAACGCGCCTGACTACGGATCAGGAGATTGCAGGTTCGAATCCTGCCGGACTCGATGATTCCTTTTTGCCTCTTTGCAATATTTTTATATTTTTTTTGGCTCGAAGAATAAATAATTTGTTATACTTGAAAAAGAACAAAATTTTGCTTGAATTTCGATTCATCAATTGATAAATGGTAACAACGCATAATGGTTTTTCGTTCGGCTTCTTTATGTATACTTCAAATTGATGTATTATGTCTGTTCAGAGGCGGCCGAGAGAGTGAATCTAAATTTTGAAAATCTATATTTAGTTGGAACACTCCAATATTTAAACGACATTTCTGAGCAAAAATAACGTAGCCACACTGTCACAGCGGCAGTCTCAGCTGAAATATTTGCTTTGAAAACAAAGGTCCCAAATCTTAAATCTTAGCAAAATGTCGAAAAAATCCAATTCCTGCTAGCAACGAACGAGTGCGCCGCGGTAGTCACAACTGTAAACTGTAAACAGTATATACTGTGACCGATATAGGAGTTCGTGTGGTATTTTTAATTCAATTTCTCATTTTATGCGACGCTGGCGTCAAGTGTCAAAAAATTATTCGTTCGGCTAACAGGCATTGAAAAAATCAGTAATAACAATTTAAATATACAAAAGGAGAAGTGGGAAAAAAAGATACTCCCCAGCAGGGAATCGAACCCTGGTCGCCCGCGTGACAGGCGGGAATACTAACCACTATACTACTGAGGACTTATGAATATTCGATTCCATTGAGTTCACAGATCGGCTCAGAAAAATTCCAATCTAAATTATCATATTCTAACCACGACTCATGTAAATCGTATCAGCCGCGTGGTTTCGAAACAAAATACATGCACAAAGAAAGTAGTCAAATGAATTTGCTTTATTATGCCGAATGGCTTTTGTATGATTTTTTATTTTGACTTGATATGCAAATTTTTACATGTGAAAACAAATAAAAGTTTATATGAAATTTGAAAACATTTTTTGATTGAAGAAACAATTGATGCGTTTCATACCGAGAATGTAGGAAAGAGTCGTTACCATGGAATTATTATTTTTGGTTAATTTGAACAGCTGTTCGATAACAATCATCGAATTTTACACAGAAATGACACTAAAGTGTGCTTAAGTAGAAGCGATTTCACCGTGTAACAAATTTCAACTTTTTCTTCTGCACATGAGAAATTCCGATTGCTTGTTTTAGAGGACCAAAAACCAAGCACTTTTGCATCATTAGTTTGTTCGAAACCACGTCTAGACTTTTTTTTATCGACACATATAAGACAAATTTCAGGCCAAAATGAGCAAATCACAAACATGAGCTTCGGTTTGACAGGTAAAAGCAAATAATTTCTAAATTTTCTGCCTTTCAACATCTAGTATGATCCTTTACAAACATTTTGGATACTTACATGACCAAATCGAGTGATGTTTTCACATATTTCTGGCCGCATATTTGGTTGGTTCGAATTCGACTCTGAAAGAATCGACTTTTGGCCAAAAATCCTTAAGTATAGGCTTTTCAGGGATGGTCTCTTGGCGCAAAGTTATTTTTTCTCGAAAATATGGGAAGTCTACCCAGACAAAAACTCTCAAAATTGACTTTTCGAGGTACCTCCCGAACAAAAGTTACGTTTTTCATGCATTTTGCTATGAAAATATCATTTTTTGTTCGGGAGGTACCCCAAAAATACACTATTTGGATGAGTTTCTTAGTAAAAAATTAATTTTTTCGAGAAATATTGGGAATCTTCCCACACAGAATCTCTTATAAATGATTTTTGGGGTACCTCCCGAACAAAAAATGATATTTTCATAGCAAAATGCATTAAAAACGTAACTTTTGTTCAGAAGGTACCTCGAAAAGTCAATTTTGAGAGATTTGGTCTGGGTAGACTCCCCATATTTTCGAGAAAAAATAACTTTGCGCTAAGATACTATCCCTAAAAAGCCTATATTTAAGGATTTTTGGCCAAAAGTCGATTCTTTCAGAGTTGAATTCGAACCAACCAAATATGCGGCCAGAAATATGTGAAAACATCACTCGATTTGGTCATGTAAGTACCCAAAATGTTTGTAAAGGATCATACTAGTTGTTCAAAGGCAGAAAAGGTAGAAATCATTTGCCTTTACCTGTCAAATCGATGCTTATGTTTGTGATTTGCTCATTTTGACCTGAAATTTGTCTTATATTGTCGATAAAAAAAAATCTAGACGTGGTTTCGAACAAACTAATGATGCAAAGGTGCTTGGTTTTTGGTCCTCTAAAACAAGCAATCGGAATTTCTCATGTGCAGAAACATGTGTTGCACGGTGTTACATTCGTCAACGACCATATCATGTAAAAAGCACCAGTTCTCGTCCGATCACTGAAGTTAAGCTGCATTGAGCATGGTTAGTACTTGAATGGGTGACCGTCTGGGAACACCATGTGTCGTTGGCACTTTTTTTTCCATTTTTTATTTGTTTGCCCAATTATTTTGCTTTTTTCTATGCAATTCGTTCTTTAAATTTTTTGAATGTTTTTTCTTACGTTCTTCAATATCAAAGTTCTCGAATTAGTCATGTTTTAACTTTCTTTTTGATCTGAAACCAAACCATCGAGTAAAATAGAATGTGAAACATTTCGTTGGAATCTAACACTTGTGTTGGGTCTTTATTGCGATTTAAATATACATAAAGTAAATTGGTTCATTTTTTTTCTCGATTCATTCAACAATAAAATTAAAATCTATCTTCATTGGATTTATCAATTGGAATCACATTTCTAACTTTGTGCTCCATTGGTGTGACAATATTGTGCGATTTTGCATTTTGAACGTTCAGAAATAATCGAAGTGTGAAAAAATAAATGAATTCGATAACGCTCAACACGGAAACACCCAAGAATAATCCCAGTAAACCACCACAAACGGCGAGGAAATCGGTTCTACTATACAATTCCTTGCGTTGCTTTTTTTCCACTTGGTGATCTCGGAAAAAGATCGACACCCGAGACGGACGTACTCTGACATATGAAGCGAAATACGAATGAAAATGATGAAAAGGAATCAATTGATACACTATGCACACTTAATATATGAAAAAAAAAGAAGTTCTATTCGAACATGTTAGTCCTTACTCCATATTTGAGGTGCCCAGATTTTGTTGCAAAATCTCCAAATCGTATTTATTACGATCGACTTCCGCATCGTATTCGATGGAGACGCATGCAGGTAAACAATTACATTCATCGCGGTATGATTTTGACGAATCGCCAATATCTTCTGTGTAAAAGTTGTAATTGGCTTCCTCATAGCACGATATTTTGGATGCGCCACAAATTTTTGTATCAATATCTCCTGAGCAAAAAAGAGACAGAAAAAAAAGTTTGAATTTCAAGTTTCGATATTTCAGTCCATACACAATTACACATACTCGGCATAGAAAATTTCACACATTCACACAGGCTCCGAGTAAAATTGGATAAGCATTCAATTTCACAGTGGTGTTGTGAATAGATTTTGAAGAAACGCAATTTTTTTTCGCCACTGAAGAAGCACTGCCGTTCATTCGGTTTATAATTGCGTAATCCATTTGAAGTGGTCATGTATTTTGGCTTGATTGCAATACGTGTGTCTTCCAAGACCGAGACTCGAAAAGAATTGCGCATCGTTATTACGGTTTCGCCAGGTGCCGTTAAAATCACTGTAAAACCAAGTCCTCTTTTGTGGCACATATATTCGAGATCTTTGTTAAACAGGCGAAAAATCAGACATTTGCGTTAAAGAGATTCTCTAATTAAGAGAACGAACTATGTATGACGAATAACGAACGAATTACGTGGGACGAAAATGGGAAAACATGTGGCAGGAATGTTTTTGTCTTATATATTTTCTCATTCGTTGTCATCTGTGCTTCGTTCTTTTTTCTTTGGCATCCGACCTCAATGTAGTACCTCTTTTGAATAGTTGAATAGATAAAACTAATCCAGCGCGATATTCAGCATTGCAAACTCGAATTGGATATTCTTTATTTAGTCCATTTTCATATCCACTTTCAATGTTCCAATGTGATATGTTTTGGTTGTGATTGACATTCATCATCCCAGGTGCCATGCTAAAAGGAAAAATTTATATGATAATGGTTGAATAAGGACTTTATGCATTGGATCCAGTGTAATAAAATAATTACTGAACACATTATAATGTGCCCGAGCAATCTATTTTTGTGTTTCCCACTTTTTTGTGGGTGTCTTCTTCTTACTCTGCGGTGTAAATTTCATGTGAATTGATGGAATTGAATGTGAAACAAAGGCCATTCTCGGTCAAAACGGGAACAAAAATTTCACCGCACGGACGATCCTTATCTTGCCAAGTACAGTGGTTCAATGTATGATGGAGAGAAGGTGCCATATCGCTAAATATATCATAAATCCATTCCCCAGTGAATTCATCTTGAAAGTTATACGTATCGGACAAATGTTCGCATAAATGGGCCAAGGAATTCAATCGCGCATTTCTGAAAATTTTATGGAGTTTTACAATGAAAAAAGAATACAAAAACGAAGTAAATATTTGAGACAAAAATATTCATTCAAAAAATCGAAAAAAAAAATCTGTTTAAATCATCCTGTGTTTCTCACTCAATTTCCGACAAATTCAGATCGGTTTTATTCATAATAACCGATTGCACAGCGGTAAAATCCAATTTTTGTCTGCATGTCTTCGTTTCAGGGCAAATAGTGACTGTTGGATAAGGTATCTTCGAAATTTGTTTCGAATTTGGTTTATCGTCAAAGATAATTGAAACCGGATTTTCGCTCCACTTCATCCAAGAGATTCGAATGGATGAAATGCACACCAATGCCGATAATACGAAAGCAAAGATCCACCAAATTCTGTTGAATAGGACAAAATACAAAAAAATAAAATAAATGAAACCCTAATTGAATCTGATTTGATATTGTGTGTAAGATGCGTCGTGTTTTTAATGATATTTTGAATTGAAAATTTAAATTCGAACCAACAAAATTGAACATTTTTTCATGAATTAATTAATTTTGCGGTACATTTTTTTTCTGTATGCATTTTTTTTTTTAGATTAATGGCGATGAATCATCAGTGACTCAGTCAATGATAATTCCAAGCGAATGTTAATATCATTAACTTGATGAAAAAACGTGAAAAATTATAAACGAAACAACAATTAAATGAAGACTTGATGAGTCATCAATGATGAATCATTTCAACGAAAATGATGATTTAAAACCTTTCGCTCCAGTGTTGTTTTCTCTCAGCCAAATATCGAACACCATGAATGCTTGATTGATTACAAAACTCCGTCGAAATTTCCTGAAATTTCTGAAATGAACAAAAGTCTGGGTAATGATTGAATATTGTTTTGGATAATGATTGAAAATGAAGAAAAAAGCTTGTTTAATCCACACACACAGTGTGAATATATCGATCTAATCTTTCAATCGAAATTCTTGACATTTTTTTAACTCGAAAAAATTAAATTCAAATTCAAACGACGTTGAAAATGACAAAATATTTTGATTGCTCAAACCTCAGAACTTGTTCGAATTTGTTCTTTCAACTTCTGCTTTTGCTTCATTGTCAATTCCAATTGAATTCTGTTCACCGACTGAATACACTACTCTGAAATCGATTTGTTGGCTGTTTACAATTATTAGAACATAAAACTCCGTTGAAAAGGCTTTTTAGTTGCTATGAAAATGCATTTAAATATCTCATTACGGAGCAATCTAATTAGCGTTTCATCAGTTTATTCATGTCCAAAGTGATTAGTTACTGTCCCATATGAACGATTCACACTACACGCTTTGTGTTTGCGCTATTCCGCTCGATGATACACAAAGCAAATACACAAAAGACAGTCCATAGAGAGGAACAGCGCAAACGTATTCGAACACTACAAACAATATTACGTGTATCATCGTAGCCTGTGGATTTTATTCTTCGTAAATGTTTTGCGTAGCACAGAATGGAATTGCGTGAAATTCACACTGTGAGTACAGAGCCCATAACTTTAATTGCTCCTACGGGATTGAACACCGTTTTAATAAACAGAAATGGAAGTTTAGTAAAAATAATTTGTTGTCAGAATAAGACTAATTGTGAATTTGATTGATTGATAATGGTATATTTGTCAGCCTAACCGAACGCTTCGTGTATGCTTCATTTCAAAAATTTTACGGTTCTACGTGTTAAGTTGCTTTTTTAATAGCGAAATCATCATTTGCAATTGCTATTAATCTAAAATTATATCTAAACGAGTTTCCAAGTGGTTTTGTCAGTTGAATTCGAATCTGATGATTGATTGTGTTCGCAGTGATGCGGTTTACATTCGTTCAACGACCATATCATGTAAAAAGCATTGAGCATGGTTAGTACTTGAATAAGTGACCGTCTGGGAACACCATGTGTCGTTGACACTTTTTTTTTCTCTTTTTATTTAATTTGAATTATTTTACTTTTTTATCGGCAAATTTTTCATGGCACAATCAAATTGAATATAAACAAATGCATTGATTGAATCAATTGATCCAATATTGATATGAGTGCGAAATAGGAAGAGCAAAGACTAAAACAACAAAACCAAATAATCTTGTACAAAATCATCAAATTTGAAATTGAATTATTCATTTTCTGAAATAGCAGCAAAAAAGCTATCATAAAAATGTGCATAAAGTGTTTGTGCATAGGTTTTGTTGTTAGAAATATTCATTTCGTTTTGTATCCACATGGCAAGAAAAATGACATCATTGCAATGTAACGTGTACACATTCCAAAGACAGCTAATCGGGTAGCTTCTAATTAGACATCAGTTGTGCTGTGAACACACTGAGCTCTGTTATTCACAAGTCCTCAGTAGTATAGTGGTTAGTATTCCCGCCTGTCACGCGGGCGACCAGGGTTCGATTCCCTGCTGGGGAGATTCTTTTTTTTCTTTTCATTTTTTTTTTTAATTTTCATTGAATTTTTTTTACAATAATTCGGAAGAATGTCTAATATTGACTTTCAAACGCTTTTTTTTAACTATGGATTCGTCAATTGACAACAAACCTTGCTTAAGCAAAATTCCCAAGTTTGCCGTATATCGACTGATTGAAACAATGCATCTGAAAGGTCTTGTATGATGTTTAGTATGAAAAAATGTTTCTCCACCGAAAACTTAATAGCAACAGAGTTCAAAAATCAAAAAATATCAAAATTCGAGTTTAAAATGGTGAGAAAAAAAATGAATGTTTCAGGCAGGAATTGAACCTGCGGCCGCCCGCGTGTTAAGCGGGAGTGATAACCACTACACCACTGAAACCACTGACAAAAAATGGTCAGGAACACTTCACGGTTAAAATTTGCTAGTTTTTTTTTCTCAATTAAATATGCAAAGTGAATGCTTATCAATACATCGTTACGGCTGAACCATTTGACTGAATGCCAAATTTCGTCCATCTCACACCAATTGATGTCTATTGTCAAATATCGTTTATGCTAGCATTTAATTAGTGCGAATGAGTAAGTTATATGTCAACGCTCATTAAATGATTCATTATTTGCCCATTGATTTAGTAAATTACATGAGATTTCACGAAAAAATGCTGAATTTCAATTGAAGAGTAGTTTCAAAGTAATTATTCAAGAGAATTTAATATGCAAGAATGAAAATAGTGCAAGAAACCTCCACATAATTTGTTCATTTATTCCAGTTTTGATTAAAAATCACTAACTTTTTCAATCAAAAGTTCTCTGAAATCGGAATATAAATTCCTACGTATGAATATATCGAAGTCTCCATTTATTAATACAAAGAGTAAAAAACCTATTATTTTTTTCGAATCAATTTTCATCATAGTCATTTTTGTCTTGAGACAACACATTGACTCTGGGTGAGTGATAGAAATGCTTGGATATTGAATTCAGTTCAAAATAAAATAGTTGTTTTGGATTAAAGTAACAGTATGGAAGAAGGCAATAATAAAATTCAATCATACTGAATAAAACACCTACATAATTTACGAAAAAGATTTTATTTTTAATCGTTCATATATTGGAAGAGGGAGAAAGCAAAAAAAAAATGAAGAAAAAAAACGTAAAAAAAGAAAAGTGCCAACGACACATGGTGTTCCCAGACGGTCACCCATTCAAGTACTAACCATGCTCAATGCAGCTTAACTTCAGTGATCGGACGAGAACTGGTGCTTTTTACATGATATGGTCGTTGACGAATGTTAACCACTGTTGTGCATACACAATCGTTCAATCAAGTTCCCATTGCGATCTTTCCAGAAATTCTTACGAATAGAATCATCGCAAATGAACCATTTCATATGGTCTGTTTACAAATTCAAATGCGCTGATCCATATAGTGTTACTTTATTCCGTAAAGTTTTTATTAACTACAGATTTTGATCTATTCTCCATTCTATCAACAATAAGAAAAAGATGGAATATCATTTAATGTCAATGAATTTATCGATTGGAATGGCATTTTAAATTTTATGCTCCATTGGTGTTGCTGTAGATATTGAAAAGTAGTACATGTTCTAATTGTATTTTCAAAGCATCATTTCAATTCCAATTTCATCATAATGAAACAACGTTAATATAATATCGGTATTTGTAATGGGTCATTGGCAGCGGCGCTAAGTACGACTAAATTTGAGAAAATTTAAATGTTTTCAATTTATGTTAAAGTTCGTTAGATTCAGAACAGACTGTCCAATAAACGTACACATTTCGAGAGAATCAACTGTGAGTTTGGCAATAATTCCGGCCAGTTTGACTCGTCAATATGTTTTCGTGCGTAATCACTTTTGCTTCAAAAAACTCGATGTGTTTCTTAAATTTTAGTAATATTGAATAATAACATACATTTCATGGCTTATTCGATAGTGCAAGACCAATCAAGACAACGTGATGCAAGACGATGCATGTGTTGTGCTGCATTTTTTCCAAGTGGAACGATTTCTGTCTTGCAATGCCACTGAACGCATGGAATCGTACTGTACGACGCAAAATGCGGAACGATTTTATCGAAGTTGAAACCTGTTTCTAGCAGTTTTATGTTCAAGGTTATCTTAATACATCTCTAATTTTAATGTGTCTAGCATTTATGTATCGTAAGTATATTTTTAGGAAATTTGAATGTATTAACAACATTGTTAACACAAAGAAATGCAAATAAAAATTAATATTTCCACTTTCAATTTATTCAATAGTTCATATGGTTCTCTCTCTCCACGCGATTCGATGTTATCAACTTGATCGTGCGAAACGAGTAAACAGGTGAAAACAAAAAATACATTGCCACTTTAGTCAACAAAAATACACGGTACGAGTCACATCGTACTGTGAACAGGTGCGATTCGGTTGAATATATTTGTTTGGACTGTACATTCATTGCAAATATTTGTTCTGTGATTTTGGATATTTTAAATAGAAATTGTCAAATTTTTGTCAAAATTCAAGTTTTGTTGCGATATTCTTTGTGATGGTATAGAAAATATGTTTAGAAAAAATAATTCGTGAAAATTGTATTCAAGTTAAATTCAACTGGTTAATTTTTTTTTAACGACTTTTATCATTTTCGGCTTGAGTGAACATCAGGCCACTGGCTTAAAATATGATGGTCACCTTCAAACCTTTGTTAACTGTGCACCTCTACATTTTGTATCTCTTGAAATATGCGTGTAGTGAAAATGTAACCGATTCTGATGCATTGACTGTGAATTTTGCTATAGTTGTAAGTCGTCAAAAATTCAACGAAAAAAATGACTCTGACTCTTTAACAATTCTATGAAAAATTGTTTGAAATTTTATAGCGCTAGTTAATAGCGTTATAAAAAAAGTGCTGTGCCGCTCGGGAATTTATTGGTTAATCAAATAATTGATAGAAAAATAATTTGCCACAAAATTTTGAAATATTTTCGTTGTTTTTTTTTTTCATTTTCGCTAAAATGACCAAAATTGTTGGTGCTAAAAATGAATGGAAGATATTTCGTCATGGAGAACGATCGCCTGGTGCATTATATCCGAAAGATCCTCATCAGAATTTCACATGGAGAGGTGGCTTTGGACAATTGACTCAGGTATGAATTTTTTTCATCAAATATCGTACGAAATCTGATCCGTCATTTCAATTCGAAGTTTTCAAATTAATTTATTCAATCAGAGAGTATCTTGACACAGAATGATTCTCGAAGATGATTCCTCACCATGATTCCATACAATACCATACCATGAATTTTCTTCCAATGAGAAATTTTCGACTTTAAATATAATTTCAAGTTCCAACCACTTTTTTTTCTTCAACCAATTTCAGAGAGGCATGCAGCAAGCGTACAATCTTGGTCTAAAATCACGACAACGATACAATCAGCTACTGCCATCCAATGATATGGCAGACGAAATATATGTGAGGAGTAGTGCAAAGAAGCGATGTTTGATGACAGCTAGACATTTTCTCGCTGGATTTTTGTTGGCAGACAATGGCCTCCAGCGATCAGCGAATCGATCGCAACCCATTGCTATCAATATCATACCAAAAGAAAGAGATAAGGTGATTGACCCATACCAAAAAGCAGGTTTTTGGACGAAGCGAGAAATTCGCTTTTTGCATTCTCTTTCGTTCTTTTGGGCGAATGACATAGATGTGGACGGTTTTTCAATATTTATTTCTCTTTTTTTTAAAATGACATTCAGCTAATCTCCCAAAGAGCACCTTGTCCGAAGTATGACAAAATGCTGAAGAAAATACTCATGAACCCACCAGAAAATCTCAAGAAATTCATTGACGACAACATAGAACTGTTCAAATATATCAGCAAGCATACAGGAAAGGTTTGGTGGCATTTGGATTTTAGTTCTTTTCCATTTGTAGCTCCTATAATTCTTTACTTACTCGTAATTTATTAAATCATATGAAAAATGCATGTTATTTTCCATTTGTGCTCGCAGAAAGTCACTTCGATTCACAGCGGAGAACAATTGTTCGATATACTCTCAATAGAAAAGGCCCATGGGTTGGATCTACCAAAATGGACTGAAAAAATCTACCCGGAAAAGCTGTTGTCACTCGCTGAACGAACCATGGCCGTTGTCACTGAAAATGACTACATGAAAAAAATCAAAGGAGGTAAATTTGTAAACCGTTCTTTTCATGTTAGAGTATGGTTTACATCATAATGTAGAAGAGTATTTGAAATTGACGTTGGAAGTAGTTTTCACTAGACTTGGAATCGATTTGTTCGAAAAAGAATTTTCTTAAGATTAACTTCGATTTTCTTCATCAAATTTGACCTCTTCTAACTTTTCTCAACCTATCTTTCATTGATTAAATAACTCTATTTCATTTGTATAAGAAGTATAATTGAATTTACTTCTAATAGGTTTCCTAATCACCGATGTAGTTAACAGAATGACTCTGAAAAGCGATAATCAACTGAAACCAGATCGAAAGTTATTCATTTATTCCGGACACGACACAACTCTGATTAATGTGATGCGAGCATTAAATATCACATCTCAAACGACGAACAAACCCGACTTTGCGTCATCTTTACATTTTGAAATGCATCATAATCCCAATGATAAAGATGAATTCGAAGTGAAGGTAGATGTTCTAAGTTAAACGTCTCTTAATTTGATCTATTTGTTTATTTCACCATCTAAGCACAGTGAAATGAGTCATTTCAAATGACAAAACAACACGATGAACCAAAGTTCAATTCTTTGTTTGGTTTTTAAATTAAAAATTTGATAGCTTTTCATTTCTATTTTTAGATCTTCTATCGTTCGGATTCTGAATGTGAATTGAAGCCAATTGATATACCAAAGTGTGATCGTCCGTGCTCATTGATAGCATTTACCAAAGCCGTGAAACATCTTATTATTCGTGACTATGAACAAGAATGCATCATTTAATCAATGTTTGTTTATCGTTCTTCATCAACATTTTTCGTAGCAACTGTTTCCACATTTTGACCATATTTCTAATGAATTTCTACGTTTGAGAAGAAATTATGTGGTGCAAATTAGAAAAATAATTCCAGTGTACTTTCAAAACTAGTGGAAAATCCAATGAACCGGACAACAGGACAAAAACAAAACAAAAACAGGAGCAAAGACGAATCGAATTGAAAAAAACCATAAACAAAAACAAGTTAGGAAGTTTCTGTGTGTAAAATTTAAATTCAAAAAGTGAATTCCCAAGTTTGTGTCACCAGCCACGCAAAACGAAATGGCGTAATGATCGTGCTGTTTTGACACTTGATTCTGTGTATCTGTCATTCGCATTGTGTGCGATTCAACAAGGTCATACATCACCAAAAAGGCACTGTGTTAGCCAGTAGATTCAAAATTTTAGTTTCTAAACGAAATTTGTATTGTCACCGCCAAAATGAGTACGAGTGAGTTACCGCCACTTCCAGCGAACCAAAAAACTTATGCCGGAATCCCAGAAGCAGTATTTGTCGTAAGTAAAATATTGATCGATCGAAAATAACCTCAAAATCTCATGCATAGCGAATTTTCTGTGTAGGATGATGTCGATTCGTTCATGGCATTGGATGAGAATGAAAACAGTGCCGACAAAGTATTGCGACGACTGGATGAACAGCACGGCAAATACAAGTTGATGGAATATAACATTGGCGCCCGTCGACGAAAGCTGAAATTTCAAATCCCAGATTTGGCCAAGTCACTGGAAATGATTGACATTTTGCGCAAACAAAATGAAGAAAAAGCAACCAAGTTTCTACTCAGTGAACAGGTTTTCTTGAACGCTACCGTTCCACCCACGAAAACCGTATGCCTATGGCTTGGAGCAAATGTTATGCTGGAATACCCACTTGATGAGGCCGAAGTTCTGCTCAAACAAAATATAGAATCGGCCGAAGAAAACCTCAACTGTTTAGAACATGATCAAGACTTTTTGAGGTGAGTCGAGGGAGTTTTTGTTGCCTGGAATATTTTTTTCGATTTTTTTTAAATATTTCTTAGGTTCAGAAAACTTTTTGGACTTGAATTCAGCAATTTTAATATTGGAAATTGAAAGAATTCTGATTCTATGCCAAAATGCAACATTTTTATATTGAAATAGTGAGTTTGTGTACCAAAACGCGAATTTTCGTATCAAAATGTTAAGTTTTTGTAATAAATCCAAATTTTTAATATTCAGCCGTTCAAATTAAATATTTAGAAGGCAATTTTGATTCCAAATTGTTGAAAATTCTACCTAAATTTGAATACTTATGGTAGAATATGGTAGAAAAATATTCAAATTGTCATTTTCTAAAATTGCCACCGTTTTTTTTATATACATCAACAGAGATCAATTGACCACAACCGAAGTGAATATGGCCCGGGTATACAACTGGGATGTCAAAAGACGGCAATCGGCTGGACTGGTTTCTGTGAAAAACTAATCAATTCTCGAATTTCTATGAAAAGCTGATAAAATTGTGAAATTCCTTGAAGAAATTATCAAATTTTTGTTGTAATCAAATAAACACATGGCCTTGACCTGACTTGACCAATAAAATATTTTGCTAGTCGTTTTGCATCGTTAAAAACACCATAAAAAATTGTAAAATGATTTAATGAAAAAAACGAAAGTAAACCATAGTTTGACTGCAGTCAAATAGTCATAATCTCATTTTTATCAATTTCTCTAAATAAAAAATCATTTCAGAATCTGAAATTTTCACACACAAATTCTGAAACAATTTTTTTTCCACACTCGTTCTCGTTGAACTAAATTGTTTGGAAAATCCATGGGAAATTTCCAGAACAGCAGACTAACATTGTCCAAAAAGAGTGGCCAAACATTTTTTTTTTATTATAACCAAATAATTTTTCAGATTTTTCTATACAACCAAAAATGTTTCTTCTCAACCAAACCATTTTTTCTCGATTTTAATGATCAAACGGAGAAAAATTCGCATCCTGTTTGGATGAGCAGGATGTTTCTGATGGTTTAAAAATATGAACAAAAAAAATGTCTCAACAAAATTGAAATAAAACCACGTACAATATTTTCAATAAAAATTTTTATTTGATAATAATTTGATTGATTTGTATATAGAATATCCATAATATGTACAATTTTGAATAAATCTACGAAGAAAAAAAAGGATTGTGCAATTCAAAAGCAATTTCTTGTTTTTTCCTTGAATTATATCGTAATTAATTGGTCTAAAAGCTAAGAACAAAAAAAAATCATCGTATTGACACAGAAGCACTCGCTTTATCTCTCTTAATATAACAAAGATTTGCCTAAAACTAACATGTTGATATAGAAAAAAAATGAAAAATAGAAAAAGAAATGTACAATTTACACAGAGGACAAAACGCAAAAAGCACGATCAACATGCATCCCGTATGCCTATATCAATCTCCATTTGTCCTTAACAACTAGAACAAAGTATTTTTTTTTTTGTTTCTTCATTTTTTTTCGGGTTTTTCTTATTTCGCTAATCTACTTTTGATTAATAAAAGTGTTCTTATTGTGAAATGGTATTAAATCTGGGAATAGGAAAATATTGCCAACGGGCAAAAATATCATTTATCAACTAATTTCTTCTAAATAAAATGTAAAAAAAAAAATAATTTCGAAATTGATGACTAAAAATTCAATCTCTGAATTATGTGATTAGCTGTCGATTATTATTGTTGCGACGGCTGCGGCGACGACGACCAGAGACTTATTTTGGCACTTGTGTCTTTTATGGCTCTTGCAGTTTAATCTAGTTTATTGTTCACGATGAGTAGAGAGTTAAGTGTATTTGTGTCTTGTCAATCATCAAGCGATCAACAGAAGGAGGAAATTGTATTTTATTTTCACAATTAAAACATTTGCATTGAATAGATCGAGTCGCGACAATCAATGCATTATTTTATTTATCAACTCAAGGCTCCATTGTTTTTTTTTAAACCCATCAGTTTTAATTGCACTATCGCACGTCGACTGGTGGTCAACAAAAACTTTTTTCTTTTCTTTTTTCTTCGTTACACAGACTAAAAGGTCACGTATTGCGATTAACAGGCACCGCATCTTCAACCCAATTCCCTTTTGTTTCTCTAGCAATCCAAAACCGATCATATCACAACTGACAGTGTTTAAATCGTAAGCCAGACTACTCAGTGCCCGCCAATTCGAGAGAGAAATTTAAACATTATTATCATTTTTTTGTTTCTCTCACGATTTTCGAATTCAAATTCAGTCTTTTCAGTTACAATTGGGGGTTTCTACCGTGACTTTCACCTACTTGCGCGATTATATTATTTCATTTCTGTTTAGTTTTTTTTTCATGTTCATGATAAGAATTTTCTATTGTATTTTTTTCTGGGCTTTCGAATTCGGCGTTTAAATTCTGTTATCAACGTTACGAGAAAATGGCTAAATATAGACAGATTGCATACTTTTTTTCGCGTGAGATTCGTTTGGATGGAAGTGGAAAATTTTGCTCATTTTGCCCGCTTTAACGTTCAATGACTGTCTATCGTGCGTGAGTTGAAAAGGATGCATAAATAACCGAGCAGTGCTAGCAGGTCTAGCACTGAACTGCCAATGCAAATCCAATTTTAGACATTAAATCTCACTTTGCGAGCCGCACACTTTTACTCTCTCAACCATTTCGGATTTTCAAGAGAGGAAAAAAATGTGTGCACATCGAGTACATAATGATCATGCAAAACCAGATGGAAAGCCGCTTGATTTATAGCACTTAACATAGAGCTAAAAATAAATAAATCGTACCATTGAAATCCATTCTGGTATGGCACAATCGATTTTCACAATGTACAGCACATTTCAATCTCGGCGAGAGTGATTTTTTCTACTTCAGTTCCATTTTAATTCAGCGAAAAATCGCAGTTTTTCGCTTTTTTCCTCGATTTTTGCTCCATTTTTGCTTGATTTCTGTTCGATGTTCTTTTTCTCAAGTTTTTCTGTTTTTTTTTGCTAATTTTTTCTTTGACGGTTCTCTCAATTTTCTCCGTCGTTTATTTTTTTTTTTTTTCTTCAGTTGTGTTTTTTCTTCTTAATCGTGCATGGGTTGGTTCTAGTTCAAATTGCGTTCATTTCGGTTCAAATACAATTTTATCGTTTCGATTTTATTTTTTTTCTTCTTCAAATTTTCCAATTTTTTCAAAATTTTACCATTTTTTTTTTAAACAAAAACATATCGCAAAAAACATGATAGTGAACAAACAAGCGCGTTTAGAATCGCAATTTAGTTAAGAATAATATTTTTTGTGGCGCTGAATGTGTCGACGTCGAATATTCTTATAAAATCAGATATGAAACGGCAAAAAATTGATATAAAAATAATCGACAACAAAAAACCGGCCAATTCAACACACACACACACACACACACAAAAAGGGTATTTAACATTGAACAATAAATTGGCCTTCTCAACGGAATAAAAATCACTTTCTATTTACAAAACACGCCGCATAGACCGAAAATCGTTTGAGTTGTGAAACGAGAAAAATTGGTGTCGTGATCGTGACAAGTTGATATTGAAAGAAGAAGGAAACAAAAAAAATTGAATTGTAGGCAGGAGCCGATTTCTCAATTCCGACAACCAAAATATCAGCTGTCTAGTTTATTTGTGATGACGACGACGACGACGACGACAACGACGACGACGACGACGACGACGACAATTTTTCTCGCTTCACAAAGCGAAAAATCAAAACACGTGCTCGATCGAGTTAAAAAAATCTTGTCACACACTGGCACTAAATCTATTAAACAAGTAAAAAGGTGCCATAATCAATTTTTCATGCGTGTGGTTGTGTGTTGGCTCAACAGAAAAAAGTGCCATTTAACAAGAAAAAAAAAACGAATTTTGGTATGTATAATTGCATATTGTCGTAGGTATTCATGGTCTAGCCATTTTCCGTTGACCGTTCTCCTCTGCCGTTTCGCAGAACATCTCCTTTCTATCTCGTTCACGTCATTGCAGCATGTATGGGAAAGAACAGGTTCACATGACAACAGTTTTTCTTTTCAGCTTGTTGACTACCATTCTTCTCTCGCTCTATCTCTCTGTGTCGCCCCATTCGAGTCTCAAATCTATATATGATGTATGTGTATTTGTGGTTGAGTGTTTTGTTGTTTGTTTGGTATGATATTGATCAGTGCATCAGTTGTTTTCGTGATTGCTAATATTTTTTTTGTTTACTTTGCGGCGCTGGGCTGTATATGTATTCTCTGTAAGAAGAAAAAATTTGTAAGAGATATAGAAAATGTCGTAAACAACGAGATTGTGAATTTTGCTAGGAAAATCAGTCGATATATAATATGAAAAGTATATATGGTGCAAGGCGATTCAACGATTACATGCGGCTTGATTTATTGAATGCGATGATGCTTGACGTTGCCAATTGCATTTAATTGAAATTAATGCAAACATCTGCTCGCGTGTACTCATCACGAGCCATACAGAAAAAGAACACGCGCGATTATCGCACAATCACACTGTGCCGGAACGATGTGAACTTTCGATGTGTTCACATTATAATGTTACATCAAATTGTGGGAGTTTTTGGGCAATGGTGCACATTCACACCAAAAAAAAGAAATGGTGTGAATACAAAAAATGAAAGAAACAAAAATAAAGCAAAGATATTTTGCGTAACGATAAAATTGCAATTGTTACATCATCTTTCGATTCATTGTCAAGAATAACGGTAGCACTGTGCGAATTCCTGTTGGGAACGGTTAGGGAATATCGTTTATGAGTTGAATGAAATGTGGCTTGAATGAACTGTTGAAAAGTAACAGCGAAACCGTTTCAATATTTCGTTGTTGTTATGATTGCTGTTATTTGATTATCTCTTTTCATTTTTTGTTAAGGTATTTTAAACAAAAATTTGCGACAGTAAAATTGTTTGCTACTCTTCTCCTTGGCAATATTTCATCGAATTCCCAACTCGTCTCCACTATAAATACAAACGCATTCTCTATGTCTGCCTCTGTCTCCATCTCTTTGTCTTTGCCTCCGTCTCTACCTCTGTTTGTGCCTCTGTCTCAGAGAAAACTGTATCTATTTTTCTCTTCTCACTTTCTTTCTTTGTTTTTTCCTCTTTCTTTTTTTCTTTCTCCCTCTCTCTCTCTCACTCTCTCCCTCTCTCTGTCCTCCCTCCCAATACAGTTTATCCTCCAAAAATAAATTCAGTCGTATATTTTATCAATTTGTCGTTTCTAAAAATATTCACTGACACGCCCGATATCCACCCACCGACTATGTATTCGATATTTAGAACAAACAACGCTATTAATGTCACTTCTCGTAAAAAATATTGAAGTCATTTCTATCAGGTGATTGCTCAGAGAATGAGAGACGCAATAAATGTTTCTATGGATTTTCTCTACATAAATTTTCGAAATTCATTGAACTCAAGTTGAAAAAACTAGAAAAAAAATCAAATATTTCTGGTACTGGTTTTTAACGTTGAAAACGAGGGAATAAGCGAATGAAAAAAGAGAATCATAAAATTGGATAGAAAAAAAAATCGTGTAAATTTACACCGTGAATTGAATTTCAAATTGGCGAAAAAAGATCGAATGAATTGAATTACAAATTAGAGAGAAAAGAAAAAAAATCAAGAAATGGTTTGAAAATGTCTCGCGACAAAAATGATCACTTATCGAAATGTGAAAGTTGTGCTGCCAATATATTTTGTTCCTACAAAAGTTGCTTTCATCACAATTTAAACTAAATTTTTCCATTTTTCTATTACTTTGTTTTGAACATATCTTCGTGTTGAGATTATTATTTGATTTTCTTTTTTCCTCTTTCGTTTTCTTGTCAATTTTCCCCCTTTCATTTTCATTTCCATGATGGAAATCCATCCGTAAAAGTCGCACAGTGTCACGTCCATTACAGCGTGGGAAATAGTTTGAAGAAAAAAAGATGTCCATTTTTAGATTGGAACAAAATCATGTCCATGTTCATTGTTCAATCACGTATGGCATTTTGAATGTCTCAATTGGGCTATCAATTAATGTCAGTGAACAACATATCGCTGTTTGTCAATTGTTATTGTGACGTAAATGATCAAAATCTTCGCATTTTGACGCGAATTTAATTGTGTATTTTTCCGAAAAAGGCGATTTTTCCCCCTTCGAATGACGCATTAATTGATCTAATTAAGTAATTTAAGGAATTTGAGCAATTGAAAGTGGAAAAAAACACGCGATTGTAAACAAATAAAAATCAATGCTTCTCGAATGAAAGGCAAACAATCGAATAAAAATCAATGTTTTGATCTGAAATATCGAACTAATTATGATTTTGTTTTTATTTCCGTAGAATAACCCTCAGAACGATATTCTCTGTCTTCGTTGCACACATGCACATCTATTCTAATTCCACTGAAACCGGTCACAGTATTTACACTAAATATTGTTTATGCACGACTTTACTATATCCCATATTGTTTACTACAAAATCAAATGTCATTCAAAATCACGGAGCCACAGCAATTAGTGTGATCGGAAGTAGTTGTCGAAGGTGTTTCGGACTTTCTTTTCTCACGACCCGTTAATACGCTACACAACTGATCGACAGTCATTCAATGTCAACAGCCGTAACATTTCATGCGCTAAGAACACGTCTGGTATGTGTGCTGTGCTGTGCATAGACGAAAAAGAATTTAGCGATGAAGACAGAGAGACAATGAGCTTCAATTGAGTGTAATTGGCGAGCTAAGTGAATTGAACGAGCAAAAAAATAAAATGTTGCTAGCCTTGGTGCGGTTTGCGACCATAGCTCACGCATAATCGAATGAAATATGAAAATGAATCGTGTATAAGCGACTGTTTGAACTTGTGACTTCACAACGCCTTGTCGTCATCGGTGTACGTGTAAATTGAGCGCTTAATTTGTTCATCGAAAGAGAAACGAGGGCTCGATCTCTTGAGTATGTCTATTTTTAACACATTGTTTGCAAATTGTGTGACGCTGGCGTGAGTCGACACTCAATTTTTATTACGACGCCCGGTTTTTGTAATAACAAATCAAATCATATATTTCGATCGAGATTATTCCGAAACAAACAGGAACACTGCACACTGCACACCTGCAATGTCATGTGAAGTTGCATTTCTCGGATTTTATTATTCGAATCAGTCTTAATTACCACCAGTGCCGAAGCTCGCATCAAATTTCAATTTTTACACCGATTAAAATCATATCAGACACTTGTGGATTTCTATCGCCATTTTTCTTACTTTTTTCAGACAAAATTTATTTTTTTTATTCATTTCTTCTTCTTTTTTTCTCATTCATTTCTAATCATCAATTTTGTTTTTTTTTGGACAACTCACCATTTATCACCAAACAGATGCGATTCACCAGTACGGGCACTCGTGATCTAAGTGATTCCATGACGCAAACTCTGAATATGAAGTCATCTTTGACTGTGTCAAATCGTTATATTTTGCGGCTGGAATCGAAATTGGATTGGTTTGCGCCGTTGGTGACTTCGATTGGTGACTCAAACCGCTGTACATATTGATTGCGTTGATCTTCTGTTCTTCCATATGCAGCAAGATGGCTGGCGAATGACTAGCAAACGATGATCGTTTCTTGATCAATTTGTAATTTTTCCCCTGTGAATGAAAACGAAAAGTGCGATTGGAATTAGTGCGATGAATTTTGGGATAGACAATTTTGTGATTCTTGATATTATTTGGGTATATTGGGATATTATTCGGGTATATTGGGAATTCGGTTTCACCCATTTTTGGAAATTGGATAAAGTCCATGCTAAACTCAATGCTCAATTCCATGCTAGGCTCCATGATGAAATCAACTCTAAAGTAAGTGGATAAGCCAAACTGAGATAAAAAGCAAAAACTATTGCCTATCGGCGAAACTAGCGATCATTTTAAAACGTAGAACCCTTTTCTCGATCAAAGTACCAAACGGATTCGAATCTACCAAGCGAAAAAAAAAAATCAACTCATTTCAATTGACCTACCTCATTATTGTCCCAATGCTCAACACCGTCGACACGATAGCACACACAAAATTCGAGCACCACCGATGACGGTGGTAGTGTGAGTTTAAATGAGAATGTGTCGTATAAAACGTATGAGCCGCCTCCTCCGCAAATCTGTGATGACAAAAATCCATTGCAAATTAGTCCGCAAATCATTTTGATGCAAAGCAATAACTTTCCTTCCTCACACTACACTCACAGAATGTGCGTTGAGAAACAAATTCAATTGAAATTGGTTGGGAAATGCTCTGTTCGGTTTTCATTTAATACTCACCGGTGTGAATGTGCAAATGGTATCTTGTTGTGTCTTCCAATTATTCCATGTCGATCGCACTATCACCTCTTTTGTGAAGCTCAGATTTTTCACCTTCACCGTTCCCACCAACCGTGACTCCGATTCTTTAATTATGACATTTTCCAATGACACATTTTTAGTATCTAATTTTTGTCTGTTGATGTTGAGAAAAATGGATTTCAATTAAAGCTAGTTCAATGTTTCAATTTGAAAAAAATACACATTTAAGTACAAATGGGTTCAATTTAAATCACTTCAAGAAGTGAGTCTCTACAGACAGAGCTTACCTAAAATTTAAATAATCTGAGGCTGGTTGCTTGAATGCAATGGACCATTCATCCGTTATGTCGGGAGTGATGAATCCCTGTGTGACATGTGACAAGAATTCAATGCTCCACAGTGGCGGCACATTCGACGGCTCTGACATCACACGAATCTCTGTTAATGACTTTCCTTTGTCATCAGCAAACACAACTCGCTTTTTTGCTCTGGAAGAATAACAGAAATTTAATTATATTTTATTTATACGCTTTAAAATGTTTTTTTTTTTAAAGAAAATTCTTTGTCTTTGGTAACTGTTCAATCAACGATGTTTTTTTACCGAGGGAAAATTTTTGCTTCAACAATTGGTACCTACAATTTTTCGTTTGCACCAAATTCAAAATATTTCCTCATTCATCCATTAAAACATTGATTTTTTTTCTGTTATATTATGAACTTATGCAGACATTTGTACCGAAAAAAAACTAGTTTTCGATACGTGACGCAACAATTAGCACAGATGTATTCACTCACTTGTTATCATTATGTGGTTTGGTTTCATTCTCCGTATCACTTTTGTGCATTTGTTCACTCTTCACAACTAAACATGGTCGCTTTGGTACCGTTGGCATTTTACTAGCTAATTGATGGAATTTTTGTCGACTTTGAATTGGTGTTAAACTCTGAGAACGGCACAACGACCTTGACGGATCAAAATATCTGAAAAAAAGATAAAATTCGATTAGAATATTTTTGTGAATTTTTTTTTTTCATCAGAAAACTAAAGAATAATTTTAGAAAAATGCATAAAAAATTAGAGGAAATTTGACTGAAGCACAAAAGCTAGGCTAAAATTTACTACATAGTCGGAAACAAATGCTATTAAATTCGCTCAAAACTGAAAAAAAAACTGAAACTTTCTTCTCTTTTCCACTGAAACTGTTGAACAAAATAATATTTAGTAAATATTCACTCAAACCAATTGCTGCTGATTTCCGATTTCCACCATATTTATACTAATTTTATTGCATAACTTATTCAACTTATTTCACTTTAAATGAAAATAATGCATAATCTTCCGAAAAACAATTAAAAAAGAACGAAAAAAATCGAAAATTTCCCCAAAAAAAATGTATTTTACAAGCCAAAAATCGGCTCTGACCGCGTTTTTAAACCAGAAAAAAAAAAGAATCCTATCTCAACTCGTTACCTGTTAACATTTGGTCCATAATCGTTAAGAAATGAAGCGGGTGGACTGTGGCTGAAAACGGGTGGGCTGTGAGAAACCAACATCTCGTAATGGGCCATGCCAGCAATAGTTGTTGATGGCATTTAAATGTGTTTTATTCCGTGTTTTTTTCTATTCAAAAATATGTGTTTTTCTTCGAAGAGTCGCCGTACTATATCACACTCTGACTTATTTGCTAACTGCACTGCACAGCCGGGTTGAATTGCTCCGCGCTGACTTGACTGTTCACTGGATGACAACTGAAGGGAAAATACTTCGATTAGTATGATGTACAACGGCTTTTAAAGACCGGCACCGAGTGCAAAGTTCTCGTATAGGGTTATCAGTTTGGTCATAAAAGCGATGGGACAAATTTAGAATGACGGAAAAATCAATCGTACTGTTTTTTTTTTCGCTCATTCATTCGAGTTCGCATTGATATAAATGAGTGAGTATTTTGCATAACACATCGATCAGGTAGTTGTTTTAATCAAAACATTTACGAGTTTATTCATGAACTATTGTCGTGTTAGGCAGCATGGCTTTTGTTATATAAATGGGTCGGTTACATTCAATTTCGCTTTCACACACGGTCGGTGCACGCGAAATGTCAAAAATGCTTGTTCAGTTCGTTCAATAATCGTTCATCTAACCCGCCTAATCTTCAGTGCAACGGCATGGTCAACACTGTCTAGCTCATATGCTATAGCAATGTTTGACGTTTAGAACTGCTGTGGAAACTTTGTTGGGAGCGCCACCAACCACAAATCTCTGTAACTATACGTACGTGTGAAAGTAAAGTCTTTGTGTGCGTTGTACACAGAGGTGTTTATTCGTTCGAACGTCGAATCCAATGTCGTATCATGTTAGGTGGCGCTATTGATATACTTTGCTTCAATCGTCAACAATATACATCAAGTATTTCTCCGTTTTGGGCATGGTTATACGCGACAATTTGCACATACACACATTTTTAAAATCATGCTCTAGATCAGGGTATTGAAACAGATTTTTGTCACAAATTAAAAAAACATTATCAAATTCACCTCGGTACAGTTTTCATCATCCGAATGTTCAATGTTTCGAAAATCGCTCTAAATTCGGACGCATTATTCGTTTGGCATTGTATTTACTACTATCGTCGATTTGATGAACTCGCGTCACCTTTTGTTTTATTTGAATTTCTATTTCAATCTTGTTTTTGCCATTTTACTCAAATCAATTTTATATAATATTGCAACGAAAAAAAAAAGTTGAATTTTTTCTATTTTCTCAAACGGTTTTGAGCGACGAATAACTGAAAAACAAACAAATTTTTTTTTTGAATATTAGGAGCGAGTGCCAAAAACGTGAGCTGCCAAAAAAATTGAAAATTGAATGTCGCAGTAAAAAGCTGGCTATTTCATGAGTGGAAACGATCACTCGACAAATATCGGAGACAACAGACCAAACCGAATGATGATACTATCGAATGAAATCGTATGTTTTCACAGACACACACACGATTCATTGCAAAATGGAACGAAAAAAAAATCGATTTTGTGTGAGTCTCTCTCTCATCATCAAACCAAATCATGTACTTTGAATGAATTGCAAAAATCTACGAAAGACACAGTTAAATTATGTGTAATGCGAATTTTTTTTCTTCGTGTCAGCATTTGCCTCAAAAATTGTGTACCTATCGATGCGATTTTTTGATTAGACGATAGCAATGTCTCTTTACAATTTCGGTAGAAAAAAAAAGTTATCAATTTTATGAGCTTGAAATTTGTTTGATTATCACCGTTTTTACACTCAAAGGGTATTGCCATTCCAAATAGACAAAGCCCTGCTTTTATTACCATATTTTCACTTGAACTGATTGCAATTCGATTTGATAACCTTTTTTTGTCGACAGGCTAATTGTCATTTAGAAAATATAGCCCGGTTTTTATTTGCTCGAGACAATTAAACTCTAAAGGATCAGAAGTCAATTGCCAATTAAAATATGACTTTTTATTCTCTCCATTCGGATCGTATTACGAACGAGAGATATTTTTGGAACAATTACAATGTTTGCATCGCTTCCGGAATGCGAGAATAACGAAGTAAAATCAACTCTTCAACGATTAACTGCCAACGGATGAGAAGAGAAAGGGAGAGGCTGGGAGAACATTTTAAACGAGAAACCGAAAGAGAAATAGATGGAGAGACTGGGAGTTTTTCTTTGTGACGTTTCTTTGTTATTGTTCAAATCTTTACGCTTTTTTTAAACGCTGGCGAAATTGCGACTCAACATGAAATTAGCTCAAAACATATTTTATGAGGCAACAATTCTGAAAGACAAAAACATCAAAATTTGAATTTTTCTTTCATTTTCATCAAATATTTCGATATTTTTGGCAAATTCCAAGCGTCTATGTTTATACTGTATTCTGAGCCTTCGCTAAATTTAAGCTCATTTTTCAGGTTTTGTGGTCAAAAGTTGCAAATTTCGGGTTTCTCTTCGGGAAAGCACCCAAATTGCTTCTCAAAACTTTTCATTCAATGTCGGAATTGGACCGGAATGAACAATGAGAATTTGCTAGGTATCATGTGTGAAGGAACATCTAAAATTGCCTATTGCCTAAGAATGTATTTGAATGAAAATATTGTTAAATGAGCACAAAAGCAAGAAGAAGAAGAAGAAGAACAACGAGGACAAGGACATAAAAATCCTCGAATTTCAAACGATAAATGTGGAACAGACAGTTCAAAGTTTCATAATTTTGTAGAAACAAGAAACAAATTATTGAAATCAAAAATTGCGATTTTGTTTATTTTCTATGAAATTGTAAAATTATTATCATGGAAAACCGAATTTAATCATTGTTTCGATGAATAATCGTTTTTTTTTTGTGTGTGACAAGAACATGTTGTCTTAACGAATAACAAATTATTAACTGTTGAGATTCAATAAAATTTCTTCTATTTCAATTTCAATCTTAGACATAGGGAAAAGAAGTCACAATTTCCGAACAATGATTTTAATCACCGGAGTAGTCCGTAGTAGACATCCTTCAGAAATATGTCGCCATAGGATCAAGCGGATTGAAATGGGTCGCCAATTAATCTAAAAATAGGCCGGGTGATCTTTCTCTGAACTGATATTTCCAATCAATTAATTGAGAAAAAAAAGTGTTGATTGAAAACAATTCCATGAATGCAAAAAAAATGACAATTAAAAACACTTCTGTCTGATCGATCTTCGAAAAACAAGCAAATGAAGGAGAGAAAAACATTTTTAAGTCTTGTCATTGAGCTGTTAAAACCAGAAACTCATTGGGCTGTTAAAAATTAATCGATCCTTTTCCACTTGAGTAAAAGCCACATGATCATTCTATCTGCATCAAAGTAATACAAAGCGTGTATGTCACCTCTATCATCAATGCGGAATATGTCTTCACATTGATGAAGATCACATCAACAAGTTTTTTTTTTGGTGTTTTTGTATGCAAACAAAGAAAATACTAACGTTAGTATTTCAGTATTACAAACGTTATTAAAGGTGCCTTTGCCAATGAAATCGAGTGTAAATGTTGCATACAAAAATATGACCATCGGATGAGAGAACCGAATTGAATGTGACAAGAGCGTTACAAAGACAAATTGTCGCCTGCAAATCGATTACACATTTGTTGTTCAACCTTCATTGGTACCGAATGTTAAATGAGAACGCACCTAATCACACGGTTGGTTAAATATCTTCAAAAACTGTGAAATATAAACAAAATTCCGATTCAGTAGACATGACGTTCACGTTTAAAGTTTATCAGTTAAAACTATAGGGTCGGAGAGACGGCGTTTGAACAACTGACGCCGCTGCTCGTCAAATCACAGCTTAACTGCCAATTATATGACTAGTGATTGACATGCAATGTTATTTACCTTTTTTTGAAAAAAGCCGAAAGAAGAAGAAAAAAATTTGGCGAAAACGTTTTCGCAGCAAATACCCGTGTAATGAAAGAGTTATTTTTCGTTTGACGGCGTTATCAAGCATTCATTAAAAGTTCACACACGGAATATGCTTTTCTTCTGTTTGGATTTTCGTAGATTGTAAACAGAGTATGTTCCGCTTGATTGGCACTCATAGATTGAACTGATTGGCTTCTTTTTGGTTGCAATTGCATTCTAGCTGGAGCTCGTCTTTGAATTGATCACGCTGTAAACGAAGGGAACAAGGGTCAAAACTAGCATCTGAACGCGTATGCCAACTGTTTTTCCAGCATTTTTTTCTCTCTAATAAACCCGGTTAATGAGAATGTAAACAAAAACAATCTGGTCACGAAATCAGTATGTGCAAAACGCACCTTGCCAAAGTCGAATGCAAATTACGTTGGCGACGGCTCATTTCCTTCGTTTTCTTCATATTGGGCGACCGTTTGTTTTGTAAATAATGTAATCATAATATTGAATACGTATTAGAAAACGAACTTTGTTTTCCCGCACTTTTTTCTTTCTTCGGCCATTCATTTTGGTTTGATTGCATTTGTTGTACTTATTTTTCGTTTTTCAATTTGATTTATTCATTTAAAAAAAAAATTAAAATTCATGACATGATTATTTCACACATTTGTTTTGCATTTTTACCAATTAAAAAATCCGTTTGCTCAACTCTCCTTGACTATCTTCTCGTTCAAATCGAACCAAATAGTTGATTGTACCAATTCACAGAGCCAAATAGCCAATTTAAACCGATTCTTTAATCGGAATAATTTGAACTGTGTCATTCTGCGCATTTTTTTCTCAGTCCGCTATCTTTTCACTCTCAAAGAATTTCATTCATATGATAGCAATTATCGCATGAAAAAAGAATACACCCCGAACGACAACAAAGAACGTCGACAGTAAAAGCAAAAGAGAGATAAACGTTCATCTTTATGCATGGCAGTTTATCAAGTCGCCTGACTTTCTCGCTCCTGGCTATCGCTCCATTTTGATTGTATGTGGGGTCATTTTGTCTTATGGCTCAATAAAGATTGGTCGCCTTTTTTTCAAAAAATACAACAGCTGATAACAGCGCATTAGGTTTTGATTATAAATTTTGGCTCGTACCAATCCAATTGTTCGAGAGAGGTAAACGAGAGCGATTAGATGGAAAAACAAAGCAATAGAAGTATAATAGCACATAGCTGTTGTTGTTGCTATGCCTTTTCGTATTTGCGAATGTATATGAATATTCTCTCGGCTGTTTGTTTTTCAAGCGGATGATTAGAAACAGGCGATAAAACCAATCGTTTTG